AGGAAGTCGGCCGGCTCCCACGCGCGCCCAGGCGACCCGGGTTCCTTTGTTCCCAAACGGCCCCGGCGCCTCTTCGCCGTGGGCGCCTCGGGCGGGAGTCCTCAACCGTTGGGCCTCGGCAGATGGTGATGGTGGTGCGAGGGGGGAGCGTGGGACTCTCCTTCCGCCTTTTGCATTCTAGACGGTGCTTTAAAACACACACAGACAGACACCCAACGGTGTCATGAGGGGCCTCCAAACCCAAAGGAAGACCGGAGGTTGAACGGGCACATGACCTTGCAGGGGAGACTCCCGGACACCCCGAGAGAGGTGGTCGGACGCTGGCCTCTTGATCCCGGATAGTTTTACACAGACTCCTGGGCGGTGGAAAAATGCAATTACTTCTCGGGATTACCGGTAAAAGCTTCCTGGCAGGACAGGCGGGAAGGGATGGGTCACCTGGGAGCCCTTGACCTCTCTGGTGAGAAGGCTTAGCTCTTCTGCACAGTTAGCTCTACCCGATTGTGTCTCGGAGGGAGCAGAACTCGGGCTGCTGCAAGGTGGCTGCGGCGGCGACGGGAGTAACAATATGCTGCCTTGTACAGTATTTGAAGTATAGGTTCCTTTGTTTGCCGGGATAGATGCAGGTTATCACGTTTTTTAGCCTGCCGCTGTGGAAGGAGTAGCTGGGGAGCCCGATAGGAATGCTTTTTACATGTGAAGATGCAAACACCTTGCCAAGCGATTGCTTGACTTTTTGGAAAAAGAGTGCTCGTTTCTTTAAAAAAATGGTACTGCTCCCCTTCCTCCCCCTTCCAGCCCTTGTTTGAACCCGGTGCAGCTCCTGGAAAAGCCAGGATTTTTGTCCCTTGCCATGAGAAGGTTGCTGCGTCTTTTGTGTGAGGAGAGAGCCCTTCAGTTTTCAGGGTACCATCTGCCATTCTTCCTGTTTTCAGCTGCACACGGGTCTTGGAACAACATCACCCCCACATCTGCAATAATTAATGTGTCCCTTCGCATTTATTCCTCTTCTGGATAAATATTGGCCTTGCATACAGTGCTGAAGAAATTAATTCTGCTAGACTTTGTCTCAAGGAAAACAGGCTTAAGATTCTTTTTGCCCACCACCGTCCTTATATGCATACAGCGTGAATGCCAGGTAACAAAGACATACCAGTGAAGCCTCATTCGGTTTGGCTGGCACCCCCTTAGTGCGCCAGCCTTTCAGAATCCTGATTTTAACATCCCATTGCTAGCAACAACAAAACATACCTACTTTCGTTATGAAACCTTACATTCTGATCCCACCATTAAAAAAAAAAGTTCAACAAAGATGAGTCTTTGTGGAGTCTATCCAAAATGATGTTTTTGACATGGCTGGTAGGGGACAATGTCACTGCAGAAGATGCAGGAGACTATTATATTTCTCAAGTAGGCTTTGCAAAAGAGAGGGGAAAGGGGGGGGAAGATGTTTTTTATCTGTACTGATTAATGTCCATATTCCTAACAGGGCAGATAGTCTCATTTATCCTTTTATTGTGCAACATTGTCGGCTTGTGTTCTGCAGTAATAGCATTAATCTGGTTTTGTAACTTTCTGATCTTCGTTAGCAAAGGACAAAAGCTTAGGAAGGACACTGGTTTTCACAGTAACGAAAACCTTTGTTATCTGTTGGTTGTTCTTCTAACTGCAGCATGCCTGTTCTTCTCAATGAAATGTCCAGGGCGCCTTAAATCTGTGCCTTCGAATGTCTGGAGCGTTGATTCATTCATAATCGGTGGATTAGTGTAACGTTTTTATATTGGAGTTTCCCGTCATGCTTTATGCTTTCTTAACATTCATTCACAAGATCACAGGTGATGTGTTTGCTGTTGAAGAGTCACTCGGGGCTTTAAAAGGGATTTTGCTCAGAATAAAACTCGTTTCAGTAAACCAATGGAGGCCATTTGGATGTTTTCTTAAAGCCTATGTGGGCAACTGGCAGACCGGGAAGAGGGCTCTGTCCAGCTCTCAAGAAGCGTCCCTTTTTTCAACTTGTGCCACCCTTGTTCACAAGGTTGCAACTAGCTTTCTTTCCAAAGAGACCAAGGGGAATTGGATGGAGTGGCTAAGTGCATAAAGAGTGGATCCTATAGAACAGTGGTTCTTAACCTTTGTTACTCTGATGTTTTTGAACTGCAACTCCCAGAAACCCCAGCCAGCACAGTTGGTGGTGAAGGCTTCTGGGAGTTGCAGTCCAAAACTCCTGAGTAACCCAAGGTTAAGAACCAGTGCTATAGAAGAAAGGGAAAGGGGTGGAAAAAGAGGTCTCTAGCTGTGTCTTAAGAGATGGGAAGCTTTGCTGGACCCCTTTTTCTTTTGTTGCTGTGCTATGCCATGGGAGCCTGCTGGGAAGAGGACCGTATGTTCATGGCTGACCCCTGGCCTTTAGCTGGTGTTTTTGCTGACCCTCTGAAAGCAAAATTGGATTATCTGGTTCTTTTTGCTGCCAGGGAGTAGAGGAAAGTGTTGTGTATAAATGAGAATCTTTAACAATATGTGTTAGCGGCATTTGGCTTGCAAGCTGTCTATTTACAGGATGACAGGGTTCTTCTTAAGAAATGCTCTTTAAGAGCTATTTCTAGAATTGTGTTTGAAAAGGAGTACCAGCAACTTTAAAGCCCAGCAACTTCTTTCTTTCTGCAACAGCCCTGGGGATCAGGTTTGAGAATCAGAGTTTAATCAGCTACTGAATTGCTGCATCTTTCTCATAGTTTTAGTAGCTTTAGTGAACATTCGGTTTTAAAATCTCTCTCTGTCTCTGGCTCTTGACAAGTCGGAAGTTTGTTCTATCCCTTTCCTGACTCCATATATTTCACTTACCAAGAGAGGAAAAAGGGAAGCAGGCTTTTAAAGTTCCCAATTAACCATCTGAAGATCTTTTGGTATTGATGGTACTATTAGTTCTAAAACTGTGGGTCAGATAGCGCTCCTTTCTTCTTCCTGTCGCTAATCCTTTCTTCCGTTGCCAATCCCATCTCCAGGTGTACGATATTGGTTGCTACCAAGAACTGCTGGCGCCGTGTTTTTGTCTGGCTCCTCATGACAACATCAACCAAATCACTGAAATCATCCTCGGGGAGACCAAAGCCTATGTGTTCTTTGAGAGGAGTCATGGAGACATGCATTCCTTTGTTCGTAACTGCAAGAAGCTGAAGGAGGAGGAAGCTGCCAAGCTCTTCTATCAGATAGCATCTGCTGTAGCGCATTGCCATGACGGTGGGCTGGTATTGCGGGATCTTAAGCTGCGGAAATTCATCTTCAAGGATGAAGACAGGTAAGGAATTTTCTCTCCCTCTGACTTTCCCCCGCCTCAACCCTGCCTGGCTTCCACTGAATATTATAGGATTGCAGTTTTGAATGAGTTATTTTTTACTGGCAGCTCAGTGCTGTTGTAAGTTTTTTTCCCCATTCATGCCAGCCCATTATTGGGAGGTGGATAAGGAAATACACCTGGATATTATAATGAGGAGTCCAGAAAGAAAGTGGTGAAATTAAAGCTTCTGTTTCCGTAAAGCAATGAACATTTGGTGGTGGTGGTGGTGGTGGGGGGAATGAGGGAGAAGTTAGCACCTGGCTGAAGCCAAAGAAGGCTAAGGTGTGGTTAGTACCTGAATGGGGTGTCCTACCGGGAGTTCAGATATACCAACTGGAATGCTGAGAAAGGAGCAGAATATTGTGTGAGAACAACGCTTTCCTGTGTGTTTCCTGCTGTAGCATTTGTACAGACTTCTGCGTTGGGTCTGTTTCCTTCATAGAACTGACTGGTTTTCATGTCACTTCTGCCAGCGCACATACCTCTTGAGCTGTGAAGTTCTTCTCCGCTCCAGTCCTCTCTAGGTGGCTTCATATTGTGGACCAAAATGTGGGGCCCATGCTAATAAGGGAGATGATTTCTAGGAAAAAAACACACACCACCTCTCTTGTTTCTCTTCCCAGCCAGCAAAATTATTCTTTTCACTTTGCTGCTGCAGCAGGAACAACAGTGAAGTTCATGGCACCCTAAAAGACTGAGCCCCTTCGGTATGGAATCACCACCACCACCAGGAGCAGCCAGATACTGTCTGGCATATATGCTGTCATTGGCACTCACTCCATCATAAGGCTCAAGTGTGTCCACTCAGTGTTTGGCTGCATACAAGAACCTTGCACTAAGTGGAACCGGATATCCAGAATGTAAAGAGAGAACTTTCTCATAATGAAGGGGCGATTCCTGAAGAAAGGTGCCAGAAGATACTCGAGCTGACCTCTCACACAGGGGTGGGGCACAATGGGCTCACCAGATGTTTTGCACTACAGCACCCATAATCACTGGCCACAGCAAGTTAAAAGAAACAACAAAAAAATCAGGACAGCCAAAAGTCCCCCCTCTCTTGCTCTTGCAAATTTCTATAGCTTTGACTGATCCCACTGTTGCTTTTTAAAATGAGGATCTAATCTAATGATGTAAACCACAGCACTAAAAGATGTAGATTCTGTTACTTAAATAGGTGTGCCCCCCCCCCCGGGCCTGTAACTGATTTTGTGTAGATGATGTTTAAGTTTTGGAAAAGAAGCCTAATGTTTAGCATCTTTACATGCACGACACACACATTTGCATAGCTTTAAACTGGGCTGGAAAGCACCTTCCCTTCATTTTGCCACACTTTTTTTAATGTAATGTACCCACAATGTAATGTAATGTATCCAAGCTGGATTCTCAAGTTGTTGTGTGCTCTTTTGTGGTTTTGGATTCCTAAAATAATTCAGGGGATTGCAATGTACAAACTCGGAGCTGCCTACCTGTAGGTTTCACTTCCCTAGAGGGCTTCTGAGTAGTTTTCCTGCCCCTCCAGCTTCTCCGGCTTTTGCATCTTCTAGCTGCAGAAGATGCCTTTCTGCAGCCATCTGTCCTCAGCTTGTGGAGGGTAATGAGGATGTTGATGGGGCAGAATCAGTGTGCTTGCTCTTACATCTTGTAATTCAGTTGTACATATGAGTACAATGTCTGAACAGGGCTGGTCAAAATTTAAATCACCTTATAATTAAAAAAAACCACACAATGAAAAAAAAATGTAAGCCATCAAGAAATCTGATTTTTAAATCAAATTTACCGCAAGAAGTGCCTTGACCCACACTGTGCCTTATGTACCTTTTTCTTGCACACCTTCTTACAATAGTGGGGATTTTTCATAGTAGTTGGGCATCTAGTAACCTGGGGAGAAAAACTCATCCAGGATTATATCTTCCTGTGTGAGACGGAGAAATTGTCCTTTGTGACTGATGTTTTGTGAACTTTCATTGTTGGTTTACAACCTTAATTTACCTGCCACCCCCTAGTGCTCTTGTGTGATCTATTTCCTGTTGACAGTGTTTTGCTTGTATTGACTCTTCCTGTTCGTTGTCTGCTTTAGAAGCATGATGTTGTATTCTAGGCTAGTGTGAATCTTGATAAGAATGCAAATTTGCTATTGTGCTAGACATTGCCATAGTCTTTGCCTCTGATGGCATAGTATATGGCACATGAATGGGCGTCCCCCTTCTGTCACAGGACACACACTCTGTAAACTAGTGTATGATTTCTGACCCGTAATGTTTGGCACATGCATTACTTAGATGGAAATTTAGAGGTGCCTGTTGGAGCAGTTATGTGTAGTGCAGTTTGGCCTATGTTGTCTTGTTTTTTTTTAAATCCATGCTAATGTATTTTGTCTTGTTTGGGTGGTTTCTTAGAGCTCGACGTTTTGCTGAAGAGTGGTATCTGGGTGTATTACTATTTTACCCATGTTTTTGAACTGTGGTTCCTCAGGCCTCTTGTGTGGGCAAGCAGTTCAGGAAAGAAATCAGCAATATGTTGGTGTTAGAAGTATGTGGTTTTTGTTAATCCCATCTAATTTTTAAGTTGCCTGATAGTGGAGAAAGCCAAACTATTAGTTTTGTGTGAGCTAACTTTCAGTTAAATGAGTTTTCCAAAATTAAACAGTTAGAATTCAAACACTGTTTTGAATTTGTTTTTCCCTGATTGCAAGTAATTTTCCTGCCAGCTAATTATTAATGTTTGAAGAGCACTTTAAGTCTTCAATTATATTCAAATATTAACTGTCATAATATTTGACACTTAAAGCTCAGGCTTGTTGATTAGGGCCCAAATTCCCCCAAATACTCTTAAGAAGGCAGCAAGGAGAAAAGGGCACGAATTTGCGCATTGATGGTTTGGCCTGGTTCAGTGTGGCACCTGTAGAGGTATTTCATGGGCGCAGCACGCTTCCCTCCCCCATCTCCTATGGGTCATTGCCCACCCACCCACAAGAGGTGCTTCTCTCCTTTTTGGGCAGTAACCCCAATATTGGCAGCGGCAGGGCTTCCCTGCCCTGCTTTATCATCTGAGTGGGTGATTGTCTGAGGAGGTGGGGCAGGGAAGCCCACACTGCTGGCAGTGAAATTGTCTGAGGAGGTGGGGCAGGGAAGCCCGCACTGCTGGCAGTGAGCAGGTGACTGCCTGAGGAGGCAGAGGAGGGAAGTGTGCTCCTGCTGGTGAGTGGGCCGTCTCCCAGAGGAGGCGAGGGAGAGAAGCACACAGTGCCCCCAGGACACTTGTGCATGCACTGGGCAGAACTGCCAAAGTGTAGTTCATGCTCATCTCTAGTACCAAGAGCTAATTCACATGCCTCTGCTTATTCCGTATCTTGCCGCTTAATGGTATTTAACTTCTAAAGCAGTGATCTTGGGATCGTACCATAATACAGAGCTCAGGCGGCAGGTCCACCCTCTGACTGTTTTTGCTTAGTCAGGGCAGCCAAATTTCAACTTGATAGGATAACATCTCTTTGTGTCAGTTACCCTGTGTGCCGTACTACCTGCAGTGATTCTGTAGCTTCTTGACCTTCTGTTCTGACCATGTAGTTCAGATGGGTTTGGCTGTGTTGACATCAGCCAACGCCAGAGAAACCCTCAATTTGGAAAGGAGACCAAAAGCATTTTGGAGCATGAATAAAATGTGCAATCATGGAGAAATAGCCTAAAGATCGATGTTTGAAACCATGTGAATTCTTCTGTGGGTCATCAAGTGCAGTCCACATTGTAATTAACCATGTGTTCTACGCTTAATATTGCTACAAAATCTCTGATGGCAGGTGGTATTCCTAATTTTCATCCACTTGATTTCCTAGTTCCCTTTGGTCCCTTCTTCTCATCCCACCTGTGTGTTCATCAGTCTGTTCCCTTTGTTTAATGTTTGTGCTGGGGCTGTACTAATGCATCCTTGTGCACACACCCCAACAGATGGTGAAAGCCTGGGCTCTAGACATCAAGATGAATAGACCTTATTAACTCAGGACGGAAAGAAAAGTTGCAAGGTCAAACTGAGTAGCTCCCTAGCTATAGAAGGTGAAAGCTGCGATCAGATTTCATCCCAGAAACAAACACTTTTCTAATTAATTTTGAATTTGTCCGTGTGTGGGAAGCCTGAATTTCATCCTCCTAGGCAATAAATCCCATTTATCAAATGATAGAAAGTGGAATAGTTATGCAACTCAATTTAGCATCAAAGTTACTGCTGCTTTTTCAGTTAACAAGCTTGTTTCTGGTTTCCAGTCGCTATTCCAGATTGTTATTTGTACCTTTTTAATTTTCCTCCTTTGCATCTTTTTAAAGAAGCTATGCTAATTTTTTACCGTTGCCAGCTCCATTTGTAACAGATACATTTTAAAGTCCTAATATAAAGAAACCCACCCACCCAGGAATTTTCTCCTGGAGCAGACCCTTATGCTAAAATCATACCATCATTGAATAATTGAGTTGGAAGGGGCCTATAAGGCCATTGAGACCAACCCGCTGCTCAGTGCAGAAATGCAGTTCAAAGCGGATCTGACAGATGGTGGTTCAGTTTTCTCTTGAATTCCTCCATCGTTGGAGCCCTCACCACCTTCTGAGGTAATTGATTCCATTGTTGTACTGCTCTAATAGTTAAGAAGGTTTTCCTGATATTCAGCCTAAATCTGCCTTCCTGTAGCTTGAACCCATTATTATGTGTCCTGCACTCTGGGATGATCAAGAACAGGATCCTGTCCTTCCTCTGTACAACTACCTTTCAAGTATTTGAAAAGTGCTATCATATCACTCCTCAGTCTTCTCTTCTCAAGGCTAAACATGCCCAGTTCTTCCAGCCTCTCCTCCTAGGGCTGGGCTTCCAGCCCCCCTGATCATCCTTGTTGCCCTCCTCTGAACTTGTCCCAGCTTGTCAGCATCCTTCTTAAATTGCGGTGCCCAGAAGTGGACACTTGTTCTATCCATCCCACA